TCAAAGAATAGATCATAGTGCCTAAGGCATTTGGCTGCTAACCAGAAGGCTGGCGGTTCACATCCACCAGCCACTCCTCAGAAGGAAGATTGGGCAACCTACTTCTGTAGAGATACCACCTTGGAAATTCAAGAGGGGTCGCTATGAGTCAGAATTGACTCGATGACAGTAAGTTAGTTTTTTTTTTCAAAGTGAAGTAATACTATAAAGACTCTTTTGCATAAACAATTAAGATAACAAATTCTGAGTGCTACCAATAAAAATTACCTTGGAAATTTATGTCTGATAAATTGAGTTCACTTTCCTATGTTTCCTAGCTCATGTATTACCCCCATATTCTACAAAATAATATGCCAAACCAAACCAACCAAACTGACTGCCATTGAGTCAATTCCAACTCATAGCAACCCCCATTGGGTTCCCAAGGCTGTAAATCTTTACAGAAGAAGACTGCTTCATCTTTCTTCCACAGAGTGGCTAGGGGTTTGATCCACCTACCTTTTGGTTAGCAGCCAAATGTCTTAACCACTACACCACCAGAGCTCCTTGCAAAATAATATAAGCTGCCTATACCTTTCCTGAGTAGCAGCTTAATGGAGTTTTTTTTAAAAGCAGAAATCACCAAATTTATAAAATATATACTCCTGAAGGAATGTTTTGAAAGTAAACTCATAGCAACCCCTCCTTGGGTTTCTGAGGCAGTATCTCTACAAAGGTAGAATGCCCAGTCTTCCTTATGAGGAGTAACTGGTGGGTTTGAACCACCAGCCATCTGGTTAGCAGTCAAATGCGTTAGAAACTATACCACCAGAGCTTCCTAAACTCTAAATATCAAATTCAGTATCCCTCAAGTACTTAAATTCCTATGTTTTAATATTCTCACTTGCAAAGGTTAGCATTTATTGAGCTTCTACTATATGACATAGGGTTTTAATACATTATCATCAATCCTTAGAATTCTGAAAGATTAAATACCATCATTCCTGCTGTAAATGAGGAATTTGAGGTGGAAAGTGATTTGAGTAAAAGGCCCAAGATTATACAGCTACTAAGTAGTAGTGCCAGGATTCAAACTCATGTTAGTCAATCTTCAAAGTCAAAATTTCCACTTATGTTTTTGTTGTTGCTAAGTGCCATAGAGTCAGCTCCGATTTATAACAAACTTATGTATCACAAAACAAAATGTTGTCAGCTCCTGTTCCATCCTTAAAATCAACGCTGTTTGAGCTCACTGTTGCAGCCACTGTGTTAATCCATCTCATTAAGGGTCTCCCTCTTTTTCACTGATCCTCTACTTTACCAAGCAGGATGTCCTTCTCCAGTGATTGGTCCCTCCTGATGACATGTCCAAAGTAAATGAGGCACAGTAAGCAAAGCATACTTGTAAGCATCCTTGCTTCTAAGGAGCATTCTGGCTGTACTTACTCCAAGACAGATTTGTGCATTCTTCTGGTTGTCCATGGTATATTCAACTTTCTTTGCCAAGACCACAATTCGAACTCATCAACTCTTTGGTCTTCTCTTTTCATTGTCCAGCTTTCACATGCACATGAGGGAGTTCAAAGTCCCATGGCTTGGGTCAGGCACACCTTAGTCATCAAAGTAATATCTTTGCTCTTTTTAACCTTTAAACAGGTCTTTTGCAACAGATGTGCCCAATGAAGTAGGTTGTTTAATTTCTTGACTGCTGTTTCCATGGGCACACACAGTTGATCTAGAAGAAAAAAATCCCTGACAACTTCAATTTGTTCACCATTTTTGAGGATGTTGTTTATTTTTCCAGTTGTAAGGATTTTTGTTTTCTTTATGCTCAGATATAATACATACTAAAGGCTGTAGTGCTTAAAGTCACCTTTACTTTCAGCAAGCAAGGTTATGTCATCTGCATATCTCAAGTTGTTAGTAAGTCTTCCTTCAAACCTGATGCTACATTCTTCTTCCTATAGCCCAGCTTCTCAGATTATTTGTTCAGCACATAGAGTAAATAAGTAAGATAAAAGAATACAAACCTGATACAGATCTATTCAAATTTTAAACCAACTGGTATGTATTCCTTACTCTGTTCAAAAACCTGCCTTTTAATTCACATACAGATACTTGCATATGCAGTTAAGTGTTCCATTCCTTGCAAAGTTATCCATGATCCACACAGTTGAATGCCTTCATGTAATGAGTAAAACACAGGTAAACATCTTTTTTGGTATTCCTTGTTTTGGGCCAAGATCCATCTGACATCAGCATCACTTGTTTCATATCCTCTCCTATATCTGGTTCGAACTTCTGGTAATTCCCT